CAGCTTGTCCACGTCATCGGTACTCACAGATTGTAGTTGATCCAGTAACTGGACCTCGTCCAGCAAAAATGTTATTTATTTTAAATATTACATTCCCCCTATTTCTTTGTGCCCTTATAGGCCCAGACCCCTCTATTCCTGGCTGCCCAAGAGGGGAGCTACAAAGTGGCCAGCCTTCTCCTCCAACATGGAGCTGCACAGAACATCCAAGACCACCTGGGACGCCTCCCAAAGGATGTGGCACAGGAACGCCTCCACCATGACATCCTATCCCTCTTGGACCACCCTTCTCCCTCTTGTGGGACTGGGCAGCTCTTGCCACATAGACCACGGCCAAAGGCTCACCGGGCCATGAACAACCTGCACAGGTTACCAGGGCAAACTGGCTACCCACGGCTAACTCCTGTGCCTGAGAACGAAGGCTTTTCCAAGGAACTGCCTTCACCCAGGCTGCCAAGAAGTTCACCAGAAGATGCCACCAGGCCACTTGCTGAGTGACTCTGCCCCTTCTGGGTGTGGAATGAACAGCCAGGAGCATGGGAGTTTAGTGGCATTTGGTTGAAAGTATCCTCCCTAGCAATGTCAGGCCAGGAATGATGATGTTACAGGAAGGCACCATGAATGGAGGCACTTTGTTGTGTTGCAGCTCCTGGAGTGGATCTGACACCCGCGTGGAAGGATGGTGAAGTTGAGTGGAAAGATGGTGTGACATTGGAGGCTGCCCAAGAACATTTTTGACATCATACATGAGGATGTCATACAGCAAGGGGATGGCAGTCAACAGTGATGATGTCCCACATAGCCCAAAGTAGATAGAGTGACCTTCATCAGGTCTTTCTATAGGACAAGGGTGGATGAGCTAAAAACCAGTAGGTTGGATAAATTCTTCATCCTGCTCTTTTCATGTGCAGTTCACTAAAACACACCTTGTTATAATTTGTTACTACTTTGTTTTTCTGTCAGTGCAATGTCAAATAGACAGGAATGCTAAAAAGTTTGGGAGGTTGGGCCAGGACCCCCAAACTTACCTTAACAGCCTGGCCCAAAAACCCAAACCTAACTTAACAACCAGCAGCCTCCAAGCCCAAACCCCTGGCTCAAACACCCAACCTACCATAACACCCCGCAGCCTCCTGGCCCAAGCCTCCAAACTTACCCTAAGAACCAGCAGCTGCACCGAGCTATGAAGAAGGCCTGTTCAACTGGCAATCAAGGTGCAGAAGGATGTTTCCAGCCCTATCCCACCATCGAGAAAAGTTGAGATGAGGAATTGCAACAGGGGCCCTGCTTCTGATTGTCGTAATCTCATTCACTGGCAGGAGGGAGTTGGACACATCCTGTCGCACCTTGATCCCTACCTGAACCCTTGATGCAGCTACTACAGTCAGTCCTTTATATCCACAGATTCTTCATCCTCAGATTCAAGCATCCACAGCTTCAAAATATTTTTTAACATATATAAATTACAAAAACCAAACCTTGATTTTGTCATTTTCTATAAAGGACCCCGTTTTACTATGTCTTTGCATTTAATGGGATGAGAATCCACGGATTTTGGTATTCGTGGGGG